AAAAAATAAACAAACATTTCAGAAATAATTTTTGTGATTTTTGCAGGCGATATTTAGACCATCTGGGACCAGAGCCTGGAAAGACTTGATCTTGGCACAAGCTTTCTTTTTTTTCTTTTTTTTTCTTTTTTTCCCAAAGATAATTCATAGCATCAATTTCAGTTCAATTCTGGCTTTAAGGCTACAAAAACAGTGTTGGGATTTTGGCAGCCATCCGGGGAATAAATTGTGGATCAATATAAAAGTAGGTAAGACCGTCCAAGGTATGGCTCCATTTGGATAATCTTAAATTGGAAAAAAAAAAAAGCAGAAGAGGGTGGAACACATGACTATTTAAACATACAGAGTACATGCCTTCTCAAAGTATCTACTCCTGCAACTACTAAAACCAGAACAGTGAGGTTTATAATTAATGTTCTCAGAGATTCTTACCTGTACAAAGGTGTTTATAGAGACATTCAACGGTTGAAATTAAACTCCTTGGCACAACATAACCAAAAACAGCCATCCAGTGTTTTTTATAACACTTCAGCAAGTTTGCTAATGTCCATGGTGGCTTCAGATACAGTATCTGAAAGATCAGATGTTACAAATTCAAACGTTGATTTTCATATGGACATATTCCCGTACGTTTCACAACTGCTCTTTTCCTTCAATAATGTTATGATTTGTGCTTGCTGAAATAGAATTTCAATGATTCCTCAGAAATAAGGCTATGTTCAGATTTTAAAAGTTTATCTATTAAAAAAGATTTGATTCAGCAGTATTATGGGGCAGAGTGATGCTTACGTAGAAGCATTCAATGTACAATCATTTTCATGATTTTTGGTTCCCCTTTCCTCAACAACTCCAAATACTCTTGAGTTACCTCTTAAAGTGATTTTGTGTTACCTGTGTACAAAAGCCAGAACAGCAGTAAATATACCTTTGATTTTCCAGTATTGTTAAAAAAAGTAAAAATAAACTAACTTTTCCTAGCTGTGGCTATATACACATGTAGTAATATATGCATACTGCAATAAAATTGAAATTTATTACTACCAAGTGAAACCAGAGTTTGAAAAGATGTTAACAGAAATCAACTAAGTTAATCAGAAGTGCCTAAAAGCTTAACAGCTAATTAAAGCTGTATCTTGTGGAACAGTCATCTCATGCAAATGATTTTTGTTTGTTTGAAAGCCATAGAGGCTTATCTCCAATAAATTTAAACTTCTAACCCCTGCCAGCTACAAAATGGAACCTAAACCAAAGCACGAACAATTTGAAAGTGCCTTGTACAGGAGTATTTATTTTCTGTTAACAATACTTTTGAAAGAGTGAGCGTTTGGAGGTTCTCGTTAACACCACTGTGATTCTGTATCTGCACTGTAACCGATTTACCTGTGAACAGTTTTATCCACATGGCACCTAAAAACATCTGTTCTGATGGAGAAGCGGTGCCTGCAACAACAGCACCTCAATATTTACAATGCAGTGATTTAACCATGCTAGAAAAGCCAAAACAGAAATTTAATGCAACTAATAAAAAGAGTTCTGAAAATTCACACTGAACAGCCAGCATCTCTGTTACCGTATTATTAAAAGACTATTACAATACTGCACAGTCATTACTGGTCAAATAGAATAACCTTGTTATAAAATGAAATCGTAAAACTGAACACTGAATTGTTCACTGTCAGTGAACGAACCAGACGACTCAGCTGTTTGGCTTAGCACAGGTACTGATATCACTAAAATACCAAGGACATTTAAACCTCTTAATAATTGAAATATCAAGCAAGGTGACAGAAGAAACCACCTCCATCCATAGGTTTCCAAATGCAATTTTCATTTCGGTCTCCAAAATACAAGATAAAGCTTCTCCTAAGTTCTTCTCAAGGTCTGGAAGTATATTTGGAAATTGCTCAGTAAGACTAGCATCACCTCTTTCTGTTTTCCCAAATTCTGTATCTGTCAAACCAATGATAACAAAAGGTACTTATTGCAACTGTTTCTAGATCTAATTTATGTTGATAGTACACAAACAACTTGTCCCCATAAACAAAGACAGACTGCACTTTCTGTTATCAAGCAGATGGGCTACGTCTAATTATGTTTCAAGTATTTCTAGTTATACCCACTTGTATTGTGGGTGTTTTTAATTATGAGCTACTAACCAAGAAGATTAATTTCCTCAGAGCATTATTCATTTGTGATCTTACTCCACATTTCCTTTTTCCTTATATACAGCCAGTGGGGTTATCAGCAAGTATCAGAAGATCACTTCTTAATACCGTAGGCTGTATTTGTATCTTTGGAAAAAAGAACAGGCAACCCAAGAATCACGTTCTACTGTCTGGGATGCAGGTAAAGGTATCAGCATAAAATGTAGAGAGTCATCTTAGCATACTGAATTTTACAACTACTAAGAACCAGCTCAACTGGAAAAACTTCTTTCAGGTCCTAAAAAGTTCAGGACACCTTTTAAATTACTATAAACACAGGAAATTCATGCTGTGTTTTTTCTGTAAAACAAAAATACGTCATATTTGAATTTCTTAGAACTCTATGCAACAGATGTTTTAATAAAGGTCTCAAACTTTCAGAAAACCATTTACCTTTGAAAATAAAAAACCTGCCCCAAATAAAAAGCATTCCTAAGGATTTAAAGTATATGAAAATTGAAGTTATAAGTAGAAACTATTCTCCCTCTCCTATACTGATTATTACATGTCTCAAAACCCAACATACATATATGTGTATATTGAACAAACTTACCACATTTGGACTGTTGCAGCTCAACACAGTTCTGGTGCCTGTTTACATTCAGATTCTGCAGAGCAGTAACCAAATCAGCTTTGCAGAATGCCTTGACCTCACTCACAATGGCTTTATTACATAAATTTTTATCATCCCTAGGAGAAGAAAATTAATTGTTGACATAAAACTGACATTACTACATAGTAAGTAATAAAAGCAACACACTGAAAAAATTGTCTTTGGTAACCTTATTTTGTGAGTTTCATTATACACAAAGTTTTCTTTCTCAAGCAATTGGAAACACTTCACAAAATTAAACGAGAAAATTAACTAAAGCATCTATTCAAAAACATACTGAAATATGTTTCACATTCTAGGTTTGCTTTAACAAACAAACAGCTAGAAATACTACAGCAACGATGCCTAGTTGCTATGATCTTAGAATTATTACCTTGTTCGCATTCTAAGACAGTAATGTCTTACTTGGTTTCTACAATAAATTCTCATTTTTGACATCCTTTTTTACTGTTCTACTGGCCAAATCATTGTCCAGATGCCACCCTGAGGTATACACTACTCCAGCAGAACTGCTATAAAGATGCGGTACAAAGCTGGATCCTAGTACTTTCGCAAAAATTCCCATTGCTTATATTGATAAAGGATAAAAGGATTTTCAGATGAAAAGTGCTTCTGAAGTCACCTCTTGTTCTTTACTCAGAGAAACCTAAAATCATTATCAACAGCCCTACCAATACTGCGATCGAAACAGTGTTTTCAGCAGCAACCCAATCCACACGTCAACTTAAACGAAGCGGCTGATGCCTAGTGTCTTAACCCTGCTTACTGAAACTATGCAGGAAACGGTTCTAGCAAAGCCCAAAGCAAGCTGTTTACAGTACCTGTCAAGGAACATTAGCCCTTGAAAAACTAGCTTCATGTCACTTGTATAAAATTGAGAATCAATACTCAGAAGTCAGCTATCAGCCTCACAAAACAAGAACAGAGACAAACCTATCTCCACCTTCCCTCTCGCTGAGATTAACCCTCAATGTCCATCACTATCCCCAAACCAGAGGCAAATCTATCTCCACCTTCCCTCTTTCTAAGATTAACCCCTGACAATGTTTATCACTGTTCCAAACCAGGTGAGCAGAAACAAAGTATCTAACTGGATCTCAGTATTTAATACAAGTATTTCTTCCTATTTTGTAACTCCAGTAATATTATTTTAACAAGAAATCAGAGTAAAATCTGAGGAAGTTATGTTTTAAAAGGTTTTAAAATTGAATATTGAGTAAACTTTATTCTACTTCAGGCCTCAAGCACACGAACGTGACTCAGTCTACAATCTTTGTGTTTTATTATATCCTTCTACTCTAGCTTTTAAGAGGGTGGCTGCTCTTCAAAAAGCTTGCTTCAGAAACAGCTCTTCAATTTAAGGTATGATTTCAAAACAGTGCATTTGGCACAAGACTAACTTACACTTCATAAGAGACCTAAGACCCCACAGGAACTCACGTGCAGAGTATGACAACAGCTTGAGGAAAGAGGTTCTGATACTGCAGACAACATTGTAAAACACGATCGTCATTATTCTCGTCGCTCAGGCCATCTGCAAATTTAGTTAAGACAGTGCTGACATTCAGAAGCAACTCTACATACAAAATACTTCAGTGTAGTCATGGTACTGGTTTTAAATTTCATACTCCCCAAACAAAGGCAGATAAGTGTAATCTAAACACAAATCTGAGCTTTGAATTCTTAAGTACTACTCCACTCAAAAACGCTACGGCTTTGCCAGAAAACGTCAAGTGAGCCACACATCAATTTGAGTATGTCAGATTCTGTGATGACTGAGTGAAAAGCAAAAGCATGCAACATCCTGAGCTCATAGGTAAAAGCAACGATATGAATTTTCATTAAGTAACCCCCCACCTACCAACAGGTGTAGCTAAAAGTGAGAAGCAATTGATAAAACAATAGTGAACAAAGCACTAAGCTGAACAAGGTATTTGCATCCTGTAGCCTCGGATATGCTCTGAAGACTGCTGTAAGCTATTAGCTAATTTCAATTAGCAAACTGCAGAGTCAAGACCGTATTAAACTCAAAATTTAGTGCTAAGGTTCACACTTGCAGGTGAACTGCAAGGATTAAGTACCCAAAACAAATTGATTGCACATATATTACATATTTTTTGAGAAGCAAGCTGCATGGATTGCCCCCACAATTTGGAATCTTGGTTTTTGAGACACATGTAGATGAACTGGACTGCAGGGATAGCTTTGTCCCGAACATGCTGCAACATTTTCCCCTTCTTCAAGTTGTCCAACTCTTGTAGAACGACCCAGGGAATTATTAACGCAAGTCTGCCAACGCCTGGAAGGAATAAAACCAAAAACAAACACTACAACCAAAAAACACAGGCATTTTGAAGAGCCACACAAACTACTACAGATAATTTTTAATTCAAACGTCATATTTATAAGATAAATTCACACTTATCTTTTTTGCCAGTAGTTTTCATATTCCATGCTCAAGAGTATCTGGCATTTAAAAAATCAACAACTAGAAAAGGCCAGGTTCCCTCTTTCTAATCTAGCCTCAAACTTGCACCACATCAGTTACATGAAAAAATGACAATATTACGCAAACAAAAGGAAGACACAGTTTTAATCAACGGAATACTCTGACAACATCGTGTAGTAATATTCTAAAATATACTTGCAGCAGTTACCATCCTGTCACACGCTCACTTTAAGATGTTAAAGCAAGGTGACAGCAGCTGAAACAACAGGCTGAAAATACCTGAATGACCACAACTGTCACTGTGCCAAAATAATCATCAAATAAAAGGAGCCATGGTTTGTGCTAATTGCCTACCAGCATTCCTAAGCCAGGAGCAGGAAGTACGGATACTGGACCATGGTTTTATTTGCATGTAAGTATGGTCTGAGCTTTAAAACTATTACATATGAAATATATCATAAATCGGAAACGTAATGACTGTTCTCTTGGTCCACCCATGACAAATACTTCAACTGTTTTCTTTCTCATTCACATTATAAGAATACAATTTTGAAAAAATACATTAATATCCATGTGCTTTGTAATAAATAGGTCAGGAATCAGCAATCTTCTGAACATAATGGGTCTAGCGCAGGACCAGAAATTGGGAGCTACAATATTCTAAAAAAGGCATCCCAGTGTACACAATGCAACACCATTCCTAACACGGGAAAGAGAAATACAGTCTGACACACCCTTGAAAATTACTCAGGCCCTTCTTAAAGTTATTTTCCAGGTGCCTGGAATAAGTGTATTCATTAGCTGAAAGCATTAAAGCACCCTAAGTATTCTGATAGATTCCAAATACGTCTACCAACAGCTGGCACGCCCGATCAAAACTGTGATCCTAATCCTGCTAACGTTAAATCACTAAAAGCTTCACAACATATTAAAAGCAAGCATTAAAGCCAGGGTCTGCAATCTGAATTCCTGAGAAATTGCTCACACATTTTGTGAATTCTGTGACCTTCACGAAGACAGAAATAAAGAACTGACTGACTGCTTAACAGATTTTAAATGTTTTTAAATTCCTAGAAAAAAAAAGCTAAAAAGAGAGTAGAAAACATCGTTACCACTAATAATGGATTAAATGCTTGAAAGTATGTTCTTACAAAAGGTAAGACTTATTTACCTCTAAGAATTCATGCACATTCCTGGGAACTTCTACCATGATTCTCTGTGGATACGTAGGTATAAGCACAGTAGGTTCTACTTTCATAGCTGAACTTATCCTTAAGAGGCAGCCTATTTGGGTTCACAGAAACGGCCTCTTACGTGTGAGCCTTCTGCCTCTATATGAAACCTGCTGCCTTTTTATGGAGCCCGGGTCTGGTTTCCTTCACGTAGCCTGAAGTTCTTACAACATCTGTTTTTTCTTAAAATGTTTTCTTGATCATCATGTATTCACATACCTGGTATATCCTCAGATTTCAGGGATTTGACAAACTCAAGGTGACTAATCATTATATTTGTGTCAATCACCACTAGTATGTTCAGACCAGAAGTAAAAGTCTCTGCAGGGAAGAAAGAAAAAAAAAAAAGGGAAAAAAACCAAAAAACAGTTGTGAAAAAATCAGTTGTGTACTCTCTACATTAACCAACTGTAGTAAGTAGTTGCAAGTAGACACCAAAGAACATCAAATCACGACATACCAGCAGAAATATTTAAATCTTGTTCTGGAAGGTCTATTTCCATACTTGTAAGTTCTCCACAAGTCTGCACTACAGACAGTGCCATCCTCTTCTGAACACGAGCAACATGCAGATCTTCAACTATCTGCATCTACAACGGAAAAAATTTGCACGTATGAAATCAATTGTACGTGATCACTTACTAATTGTTCCCGAAAAAGATACTTTTGCATTAATGCTGTTGTGTTAAAACTGACTAAAAATGAAGCACAAAAAATTTTAAGTTGGTACAGCAACTGTAAAGCCGTGACAACCTTCTGCACATCCTCCACTAAAGAAGTCCACAAAAGACATCCAAAATCCAAAATAGGGCCTAGAAGGAAGATTTGTTCATGACCTTTCTACCTGGTACTCAAAAACTTTGTTCCATTTTTTGCTACATAGACCGCAAGTTTCCCCACAGGTATTTCTTAAAAAAATACATCTCTCTTCCAACTTGAAAGTTAGAGGGTGGAAAATGAGATAGCTAAAGTATGTAAGCAACTAGGAAGGCCCCCTACATTGCAGAGACTAACAGAAAGGCAATATTTCTATCTTAGAAAGGTCCTGATTAGCGGTGCTTTAGCAAGCTTGTTTAGAATTTGAAAAAAATGCTCTGCATTTTTTGAAGTCTGTGTAGATAAGCCAACAATGCAAACTACTAGGAAAGGTCATGGAATTGTCCAGCTACACAACCTCGATGCCATGAGTTTTTAATATAGCTTATAAGTATTAAATTAAAGCATTACTAACCTCTTGGTCTGTTTCTGGGTCCTGACTGTCTTCAAGGGGTGGAAAGACTTCAAAGCTCTATAGGAAGAATTAAAAAAACCATACCAACACCACAAAATATCAAGGAAGACTGAGGAATAAGTGATTGCCATGTCAAGAGTTTTGGAATATAGCTCTTTAGTGTTAAACAAGTACATCACTAACCTTTTGGACAGACTTTATGTCCTCACCTTCTTGGCAGGAGTCAGACGTGCATGGCACCTCAAAATTCTAGAAACAAGTAGGAATGGAAGTAGAACACGTATCAGTCTTCTAGAATGCTTTTTAGAGAACACTGAATACTCCCAAGTGAATTGAATAGGTAACACAAAACATACTTTTGATATCCATGATGAAGCATCTACAGTATCATTTCAAAATGGCTTAGAAGGATGGCTTTCTTTTAAAATAAATACAGTGGATTACACCGTAAGCCTATTTTTCCAATCTCTGGTGGGTTTGTGACTGTGTTACTCTTGCTCTGGGCTTTCCAGTACAAGACAGACACAAATTTAATACAGTGAATTGAGCAAAGGGTCACTAAGAAAGAGCTGGGGCTGTTTGGCCTGGAGAAGAGAAGAGGGGGTCTTAAATATTTGTAAATATCTGATGGGAGAGCATAAAGAAGATGGAACCAGACCCTTAGCAGAGCCCAGGGCCAGGACAAGAGGCAATGAGCACAAACTGAAACATAGTAAACTCCATCTGAACATTAAAATCTCCCCTTTTTTAGAGTGAAGGTGCTTGAACAGGCTGCCCAGAGAGGTTGCAGAGTCTCCATCCTTAGAGATATTTAAAACCTGACTGGACACAGTCCTGGGCAACCTGTCCAGCTGACCCTGCTTGAGTAAGGGGGCTGGACTAGGCGATTTCCAGAGGTACCTTCCAACCTCAATGATTCCACGATTCTGTATGTAATTACTATCTTTGTGTACGCACAAAACAATCGCGTAACATGAACTGAAATCTCCTAAAATGCTAGGTATGTTAAACGAGAACAACCACAAAGTAACCACGCTCAAGGGAAAGTTGAGGTGCAGAGCCAAACACAGGCTAGGACTCAGAACCAAACCAATTACCGCCAAACATGAAATTCTGCAGGAAGCGTACAAATTTAGACCTAGATCTCCAACAAGTTCTCCTGGCATCACTTGGCCAGCAATGAGCACCTGTTTGGCAGGCAAGTTTTCACTGGTTCAGTTCATTCATTCAAAAAATGATATAACCATGTCAGCTGAAAAAAAAAAAAATATCTGTTGACTTACACCTAAATTGAAGTATTCCACACCTCCAGCAGCCAAGTAAAGCTAAGGAAGCATATGTGCAGACACAGTCCTAACACGCAAGACCTTTATTCTTCTCGTTTGTTTAACATTTAGCAGAGCAGAGAAACATTTTAACATGGTTTACACTGGGATCAGAAAAATCCACCTAATTAGCTGTGAAATCCTGTTTGAAATCTGCAAGAAGACAGTCTGCTTATATATAAACTGCCTGCCATGCAGAAACCAGCCTGAAACATCTAGCTGAATAATACAACGAATTAGGTTCTCATTACCTGCTTAAAACGTAATGCGGTGGCTTCAAAGTCTCTTTCTTCAGTCTCTGAATTACCAGTAGCTTTATCAGAATCAGCATCCTGTTTTTTCCGCTTACAAGAGTCCCACCTTTGTGCTCTTTCAGTTGAATAGTGCAATGGTGTATGTTCATTCATATCCCGTTTTTTCTTAGAAAACTCCTTATATTCTTCATACTCTTCTTCCCAAGTCTTAGATAATGTATTTGGCTTCCTAGTGAAAGGCCTATCATCGTGCACAGTCCCTGTAGAGGTGTCAGACGGCTTTTTTGGAATTCTGACATCTTCACTCTGTTTTTTTGATCCATCTGCCTTTTTATGGGGTACATGTGAACTGTACGCAGGTAACTTAAATTTCTCCAACATCGTTTGTTCTGCTTTTAACTTTAGTTTGCAGAGTTCACCTTTCTCTCTCTTTTTCTTCAGTGCCTTGTCTCTCTGAACTGCAAAGCTATGCCAGAGTCTTTTTCCTTCTGTTCCATCAAAACGACTTTTGTTATAACTTTCCCTGCTAGTAGACACTACATCAGGAGTGCGTGTACTTTTTCCATGTTTAATTTCTTTGGCTTTAAATTGGATAACTATTCTCTTTTGCTTTTCAGTTTGGATTAAAGAATTGTTTGTGGTTTTGCTTCTATTTGGAGATTTTCCTTGGGATCCTCCATCAGCGCCATGAGAAATATTAGAACTTTGGTCTCGCTGCTTCTCTTGTCCATCTTTCTCTATTTTGAATCTATAGAAACATTATGAAAAAAGTAATGTAATCCAGCTTAGTTAATGTAAAAGAACAAAAAAACCCGAAAGCCTGCACTTGATTTAGGCAGTTACAGCTAAGTATTTATGAGTACCAGTTTGGTATGTTCTTAAATAGGAACTTGTAGCAACATCTGTCCTTTAAAGTAGTTTGATACAACATTTTTAGTACTTCCCTTTTTCCTAGCTGTACAGTTATTTTCACTCACAAAATTGAGAAAAAGCTTTTTCTACATTCATTATCTATTGGTTTGAGACATGCTCTGCAAAGTCTAGTTTCATCTTATTGCACACATAAGTTTTAACAGCAGTTTAATGATATATAAGTTGTGTTACCCTAAAATTTGAGTGTGCAGCAGTTCAGCTTGATCACACAGTGCCAAACACCGCACAGCTTTCAAACAGTGCAGGATAAACAGACTGAAGAACTCAGAAAAGGAATGATTGATGGGAATATAGTAATATTCTACAGAAATCACGAATTATACAAAAACTGAATACGAAACTTTCTTACAAGAGCTGAGAAAATACTCAATAAATTTATCATACACTGGGTTTAAAATATTCAAAGAAAGTTTCTACCCTACTCTATAACAATATTGTCAGAAACACTGGGGAGGTAAAGGCCATTTGACAAACTCATGTAGGACAGGTAACTTAAATGCACTGATTGGCATCCAACTTCTGACTTAGGAGACTCCTAACTGGTTCTTAGGGTGTACAACAGGAAAAATAATTTTGTACTTGTCTTGTTTCACATATTCCTTCCCACGCAAGCCCTACAGGCCACCGTCAGGGATGAGGTACTGGACTGGACAGAGTTTTGGGATGAACATAGTTACTCTTTTATGGTTATATCATACTGTACTAGCAAACAACGCTTAAAAGCATGTATACCTGCAGGTAAATATCCTACGACTTACAACTTGCAGTCTAACAGAGAAACTGCAATAAGATTTTGCCATGATTAAGAAACAATCCTGCTTTTCCATCTCAGGATTCATGAGAACATGAACAAAGAACTACTTTATATGAAGTAGTTTTCAAGCACTGTTTACATTTGCTACGCTCAAGGTGAAAGATTTCTTTCTTTGCCTTGGAATTAATTACTTCAAACATCAGGAGAAGTAAATGATTTCAGGACTACAGGAATCTATTAAAGGTACTAAGTTTACTGCAGAACTATCCTCCAGACTTCACCGAAGTCTCTTTTTGCTAACAAAACGTGTAATATGCAATACAGACCAACAAGGTAGTGCTCAAGGAAAAATAAAACCAAACAAAAAAATCTTTTTATGACAGCAGTGTTGGGAGGATGAAATTCCCACCTTATTTGAAGTGTAGCAGCACAAGTAACATACGTTAGAGTCAAAAAGAATTCTGAACCCTGTCTTCTCAACTATCTCAAACTGCCCAGCTTAGACAGAATCCACCCATTAATGCAATGCTAACATTTCATGAGTTAAAAATACGGTATTTTATTTGGTGAACCAAGTCGAACAAAATTCTTAAATTCAGCATGAAAAAAAAAAGTCTGTGATTGTTTTAAGTAGTTGCATTTAATGATAGAGCAAGAATTTACCTCTGAACTTCTGCATCTCCTTTCACAGAAGGGTTGTAAAATCTTGTGTCTTCAGAGTTCTGAAAGGAGGAATAAATCCAAGGGCTTATAGAGGAAACCGCAGTTAAAAAAAAACCTTTGTAAGGTTGAACAAGCTACTATTTCATACTAGAATCACTACGATCTTGAATAAGTTAACCTTGAAAAAGGCAGCCACATACCTTGCTATAATTTAGTATTTAGATTTCATTGTATTTACAAACAACACAAGGAGAGAAATTGAATGTGGCACACAGTCCTGGGTTATAAACAGAGAAAGCTCAACTGATTTAACACATTTAGGATTCGTGTTTCATATACTCTACATCAGCATGTAAAATACACATTTTTGTACGTTTACAAAAATTCTTAGGGCAAAGAAAGTTACCTGAAGACTGCTTTCAGCTGCCCCCTAGATAAGGCGAAAAAGAGGATAGTTCTATGGGAGGTTTTTGTGCAGAAGAGATGTGTTATTAATTCTCATCAGATTTACTAATTAGGTAGAACAGTATGAAACTGCAGTTACGCAGGCCTGGTTAACAGTAAAGATATTCCCTAAACAAAGAACTCGAACAGTCCTTGTTTCGAAAGCAGTTATATTGCTGCTTGGCCTATCTACATCGCAAGCTGTCTCCCATTCATGTTGCAGAGCAACTGGAAGGCGCCTTCGACCAGGTCAGAACAGAAAGCAGATTATTATTGCAGCTATGGGAGAGAACAGAGTGCAGCAAAATGACAGACTCTGCTGATAAGAGCTCTGCCCAACAAGGCAGTTAATTTTTATATACCTGGGGGTTATATGACTCAGTTTTCCAAAAACTACAGCGGGGTGTAGGAAATCACAACAGAGAATGATAACACATGGATTACTTCAGATAAGGAAGCTCCAGACAGTAAATCCTTTAACAAATAATTCACTCCTTCAATAATAGGGTCATGCTGACTCAGTGAAGCCATTAGGTTACTGCTGCAGAGATTTTTCCTAACTACAAGGGCCTGCAAATGACCACGAGGCCTTAGCTATTTGACTTCCACATTAGAAGGCACTTCCTTAAAAAAAAAAAAATAAAAGGGTTGCAGAAACTAGTGGAGTCCTAATGAATTCAAGAAATTTTGTGAACTTCTGCCTGTGGTTGGTTCTGGACTTGTAGCAGCAGCCAAAAAAAAAAAAAAAAAAAATCAATGAAATCGTAACTTAGGAGGCTGTTAAGTGCTGCTGCCACTGAGAATCATATCGAGGCAACTTGCTGTAGGAAGTCCTGTTCAACTCACATGATTATAATCAAATAGGAATCAAAGCTTTTTATTCATTTATTAACAACTCAATTAACTGGCAATCAGTGAGCTACACACTCAGGATCAATATCAGCAATACAACAGAAAAATTGTAATAATAGGCAATTACAAGATGATACCAGATCGGATGACTTGCTACCAGAAAGGTTTAACCTCAACACGATACACTTTGGCACACACAGTCGTGCTGTTGAAGACGTGGGTACTCCAGTTGTGCGCACAGCCATACCACTTCCTATAACTTGCCAACGCACACACTAGTGAGAAAGGCCCCCCCCATGAGGTCACCTACACATATCCAAGGTGTGGGACCCTACGGGATGCCCTCCTCTGGACTGTTACCCCACCAGCTGCAACAAAAGCCACTGACAGTGTCCAGCGGTGAAGGTGCTCCATTGGGGTAGGTGGAAGTCATGATGCTGGTGGGACAACTTCTGGCGGCATCAAGCCCAGTTTGACTGCTGCTCAGTTACTGCTTTCTCTCTTCAAGGCCTATTCAGCTAGAACGACGGGTCTTCATGATGGTTTTAGCCTTTCTTTTCAATCTAGCTTCTTCTTTTCTCAAAAGTCTTTCAATAATTCCCTGATTTTCACTTAATTTAGTCATCTTAAGCAAACCTTCTTACTGTTACTTTCCTCTTAGCATCAGCAGTTTGCGGCAAGTATCCTCTTGGAGCAGACCGTTGTACGTGCTCTCTTTAAATCCCACGGCTATCATATGGTTGGACTCAATGATCCTAAAGGTCCTTTCCAATCTAAAGAATTCTATGACTCTCTATCACCTGGTGTTATCCAGGCCATGTTACCAAGAGGCAGCTGTGCTGACTCCTCCAGACAGCTCTGTGTAAAACTGTTCTAATTTATACTCTGACAAATGCCCTTTCACTCGTACTTATGCAACTATTTGCCAAACCGCTAAAAGCCAACAGGCATAAAGTTTTCTGTAATCCATGGTCATGCTTACACCACACAAAAAAAACCCCCCAAGGTCCCCACACAATCCCACCGAAATATGACTCTACTTAAATGGCTTACTCTCACCTGTGAGAGCTGAAGATACCTCTTATCCATACTGTGATCACACTGAAGAAACACTTGCTAGCATTCAGAGGTTTCCTTATCTTTTCACTATTATTAGTTTGGGTTCTCACTGTTACTTGCACTGGTCAGTGTCTGCATACAGCAGTATTTAATGCTGTCTCAAACAGATTGAAGTCATGCAACAGTTAAAACTGTATTCTTCAACCTGGTATAGGCATTAGCAATGGCGGTACAGCTACAGTAGGAAGTTTTAAGCCAAGTTTTTACCCTTTGTATTACAGAAGTAAAAAAAAACAACACCCAAACACCCCCCCCCCCCCCCCCCCCTTAGGATAAGTTAATGTTAAAAGACAAATTGAATAATACGGAATTCAGGAGAAAAAAATTGTTACAAATATCTGGCTTCGAACAACATTTTCTACACAAACAAAACACTTCCAACATGTATCTCAGTGTATAAGACCATAATATCATGCTCATTTATGAACACTTCCAAACATTTTTTGAGACAATTATGGTAAGACAATTAAAAGCTCTCTTATTTCATATACACCTTACAAAAACCAAGGGAAAAAATCTAGCAAATTTAAGTGTGGATTTATGAAATTACTGATTTATTGGATATGTATTACACTACTGGCACGAAATAACTTCCCAGAAGGCGATACAAACAATAAAAAAGAATGGGAAGCTACATACAAGCAGGATCAGAAAGATTATCACCCCTATAGTACCTGCATTTTACAAGCTATTCAGTGAAAGCTTACTCACTAGATACAAACATGTACCAGAGTGTATTAAGAATTTTAGTCATTGATTTATGTCTTAGTCTTTAAAAGGAAATATTTGAGAGTTGCTTGCTAAAACATTGCAAAGTACAGTTTTGATTAATCAGAAAATTAAGATCTATGATCCAAGATAAAGAACAATCCAGGAAAACAGTAGTGGGTTTGGTAACAGTTTTAAGCTCAACTTTCCTCAACCAGGAAGATATACTAAAATAAAAAAAATCTCTTATTTTTTGATACCCACACTACTCAGCCTCTGGAGAAAAATATAAGCTAGTTATCTGGCTAGAACTTGCAGTTATCTGACCAATTTGACCCTCCTGCTGTTCTTAATGACCCCACCTTTAAATTTGATTCATCCTTTTGTCACAAGACTGCTAAACAGTTCCTGCTCTTCTCTTGAATGTGAGAGTTTGAATTAAAATAATGATAATAGTAATAATACAGCTGTTCCTACTTTGTCATCCCGGCCATCCAAACAGTCTTCCTTTGCTGTTAATTTCTTCAGTTTCTTTTTAGACATCTTCAACTCCTAAGAAAAAACAGTGTTGCCATTATTATTTATTTCAAGCTTTTATTTCCAGCTGGTATAAAAAAAAATAAATTTGAACTGCATAGAGAAAAAAAAATACTCTAATACTGTTCTTTTGTTTCCTCATTACAGAGCCAGAGCAGATTTCAACAGGGTTAACTATTCATATCTCACCATTAAGAGAACTTCACAGAAAAAAGGATGGCAATCACTTTACCATCTACTCCAGAGACACATGTTTTGTACCGGACTAGTAGAGACAAACATCTTTTAACATTCAGTCATACAATCGTCAAGTTTTAAAGCAGTTCCAACTATATAACTATCGCCTTAGCCCCCCCCCGCCCCCCC